TTTAATCAACGTATTATATTCATAATATTTTTACTATTTTATTTGTATTAATTCACATATTATATTTTTAGGAATTTGTTTTAGTTATATTATTTTGAATTGACTAATTGTTTAAGATATTCTTTCTTGTAATTTTATTTGTTTATCAACTAGTTTTTTTCAAACATGATTGTTCATATGCTAGTTTATCCATCACCTAACCTGCCAAAATCTCAAAAAATTACAATCAACTCCAACAAATTATTAGTTTTAAAAATTTCATCATTAATTATATTATTAAATATATATTTTTTAAAATTTTACCATTTCAATGCACTTTATTTTTCTAAAATAAAATAATGAGTGAACCACATTTTTGGTCACTCGTTTGTGGCTATTTTTTGGTTTCATCCCTCAAATTCATAAAATACACTTTTGGTCCATTTTTCATGTTTTGATTGAGAAATTTTATTTTCTTATTTCTAATGCTTTAATTATTCCTCCATAAGCTTAAAAGTAAGTACATGAAAATAAGGGACAAAATGTAATCTTAGGAATCAAAATCAAAAACCAAAAACCAAAAACCAAAAACCAAAAACCAAAAACCAAAAAAGTTGGCATAGATAAGGGACCAAAACTAAAAATGTTGGCATAGATAAGGGACCAAAACTAAAAATGTTGACATAGATAAGGGACCACAAATATAATTCACTCAAAGAAAAGTAAAAAAACAAAGGTTTTTGAGTGAAATACATTTTTTTATCCCTCATCTAAAAGAACAGAATGTCCCTCACGTTAAAGACACATGCACACTTAATGACCTCATTTCTCACGACATTAATGGGAGCGACTTATTTGGGCTTAAAAACACGATTTTTGGACCATTAGTTTACGAATTTAAAGGACGAAAACCAAGAAGCGGTCATAGATGTAAGACAAGGGACCAAAAATGTAACTCACTCTAAAACAATAATTGTTTAATTTGAATAAAAAAAATTATTTTTCTCACCTCCAATCAAGTTTTATAGAATTTAAACTTGGAGTTTCTCTATTTTAAAAAACATTATAGAAATTTTGTTGGAATAAAATATTTATTTTAAAAAATCTTTTGGAGATGCTTTAAATTTAATAAAAAAAGATATGTTTTTTCATTTATTTTCACCAATAAAATTTAATTATTGTTATTTAATATAAAGTTTTGAAAAAATATATATCAAGATAATAAAATTGTAGAATATTCCAAAGACATAATTAATGTTTTTTAAAATTATTGAGTCAAATGTATTTATAAATGTTTGTTACTGAACATAACTATTTAATAAGTTATAATAAATTACATGTTAATTTTACATATTATTTTGCCCAAATATGAGTTTCTTATAATTTGCTTCATTAATAAAATTTAAATGTTGCATTTGAAGGATATTGGTTCGCCACGGTTTTTTGTAATTAATTCCTGAAAATCCAATTCGTATTTAG